GGCTCCGCCACAGGCACCCGCAGACGCAGACGCCGCGGCTTTTACAAACGGTGCAGTTTTATTTATTGCTCCAAAATAAAAGCAAATGGAAACCGGACAAGCGGGGGGGAGGGGGTGGAAACGGGGCGGGGGCAGGACTCCCCCGGAAGTGCCCCCCGGGGCCTGGGTGTGTTGGGGAAAAGCAGATCCCCCACACTGGGGTGAAGGGCAGGTAAAGGGGCATGGGAGAGGAATATGCATCCCCCTCCATTACTCCTTAAAGGCAATGTCACTGTCTCCCACCTCTCCTGGTGGCCATGCCCCTTTAAGAACAAACCAGAGAGGGATGTACCCATCCCCTTACCGGAAGTGCCCCCCGGGGCCTGGGTGTGTTGGGGAAAAGCAGATCCCCCACACTGGGGTGAAGGGCAGGTAAAGGGGCATGGGAGAGGAATATGCATCCCCCTCCATTACTCCTTAAAGGCAATGTCACTGTCTCCCACCTCTCCTGGTGGCCATGCCCCTTTAAGAACAAACCAGAGAGGGATGTACCCATCCCCTTAAGCACCACAAAGATGGGCAAAGGTTGGCTATCATCCCTTTAAGGACACATGTCCTCCAGTTCTTTATCCTTAAAGGGGTGAGTAAAGAAGTAATTACCATCACCTGGACAGTCTTAATCTCCTCCTGCCTTTTACTCTTTAAAGGGGAAGAGTTTGTGTTTTACCCTTAAAGGGATGGCGTTTAACTCTGGGGCCTCCTCTCTCTGTTTGGACTCATTTTACTCTTAAAGGGAATGGTTAAGAATGGTGTGTGGCCTTAAAGGAGTATGGAGGAAAGAAATGCCCTCCTGCCTTATACTTAAAGGGACGGGTTGCCCCTGCATCTCTGCCTGAAGGGAGGCGTGGGGGTTATTCCAGCCCTTGCAGACCTACAGCCAAGGACTAAAATCCAGCTGTTTGAGCCTTGCGGGGTCGCCAGGGTACGGGCTGGCATGGGCGTGTCCTTAAAGGGATCCATTCAAGGGCACAACCGCACAGCCCTACACCCAGCTGGCCAGAATATATCGCCTCCTGCATTTAATTTCCTTAAAGGGATCGGCTCGGGAACAACCCACCTCGGCCCTTGCACACCCTGAAAGGGATACTGTTCACCATGGGACCGTCTTTATCGGTCCTAGGGATCCCACCAAGGAGCAAGGGGGGAATTTTTGCTGCCCTCTTCCTTAGAAGGGAAAGGCTAGAAAACAAGGTGGGAGCATGGGGAGAGGCCTGGGGTGTTACTGGGCGGTCTCTCAGGAGGTCTAGTAGATGCTCCAAAGCTCTGCATGCTAATATATTATTGTAA